GACATTGAATAGAGATTAGAGTTGGTGGGATCTGTGGACATCACGGAGTGGATAACTGAAGGTGGAAGTGATCCAGCACTGCCACTTGTTAGACTTTTCCAAGTCGGTGCTTCTGTTTTTATTTGAATTCTCACTGTTACCCAGAGCTCGTTACCCCATTCAGATACCTTTTTTTGGCAGCTTAGTGATTTCTCCCCAAGGTATATTTCTTGGGATGGAACGTTTCCTTCTTGTAATCATGCTTATGTTAAAACATCATTGGAAATCCAGAGAATAGCTTATTCTGTGACTCTTAAAGATATTTCCTTGGCCTTGTGACTTCTTTCCACTTCCTTTCCCAAGAGAGAAAGATATTAACATGGAGGTGGGTGCTGCACAAGACTTATCAGACAATTTATGACTTGAGGGATTTGAAAACATGCTGTTAAAAGAAGCCTTGAGGTCCGAGCAGTCACCGTCGCTCAGAGCAGAGAGCGCCTTCCGCCTGTGCTGGGAGCCTGGCCTCTCTGTGTTGGTGGATAATGAATGGAGCACATCTATTTTAGATGGATAATCAATTTTTAAATCCCTTGTTGTAGGTAAGCTATTGAAACAGAAATGTTAACTTCATGAGTTTAATGAGTAGCCTCAACGAGAGCTCAGTGACAGAGATGGAAAGAAAGGCGGCAGGTGGTCAGAAAGAGGAGACCGCACATTTAATAGATGGCCACTTGCTGCTTGGATGTCAGCAGCAGCATGCTGTCCCCAAGAAGACGTCTTTCAACTGTGCATCCCATTACGGTCCTTGCAGCCCGTGGAGGCCTGAAGGTGGAGTCGAGTGTGTTTGGAAGCAAGTTCCCCTTTGCAGAATAATGAGATCGAGGCTGGCAATTTGCAGAGATTGCTTCAGCAGTGGTCAAATCTGCAAAGAAAACGGCAGAATGAAAAGACCATGTTGAACAGAAGATACTGTGTAATGAGCCAGGAAATCTCAGCTAGTCACCTGGCTGGCTTCCCTCCACAGCCCTGTCTTCTGCAAACCCAGGGACAGGCGCTCTGCTTTTTCTCAACCTTCTTGGGCTCTCAGGTCTGCACACTGCATTGAGAATGGGAGTGACTTGACTCTTGTACCACTTGGAGGAATGAATGAAGTCCTTTTCACTCTTTAGCAAAACATGGATGTGTGGGATTATTTCAGATATTGTTGAGTCCCCAGAAGTATTTGTTTGCTGCCATTATTATATATAGCTTTGGCAGTCTAGTGGGTAGGGAGTTATGCTGCAAACCCAAAGGCGGGTGGTTCAAATCCACCAGCTTCCTCTTAGGAAAAAGATGGGTAATCTCCTCCCCTGAAGTGTATAGCCTCTGAAAACAAGTGGAAAGTCAACTAAGGGTCTGTTCAACTCAACAATACAGATCATAATCATCTTCATTATTCAAAAGCAAACAGCTTCATCACCCCTGAATTTTCCAAGTCTCATTTTAACTGAGCATTTGTGTTCACATCTGCTCTATATCTTGGACAGATTTTACCAAAAATCTGAAAGCAAAAAAAATAAGGAAGTCTCTTCTTTGCTAGATTTGACCAGGAATGCCCAGAATATTGACATCATTTCGGTCCTCTTACTCCTCCTCAGTCAGCTAAGGTCAACCTTCTGTCGCCTGGTGCCAGCAGGCAGGCCCTCACCACCTGTTTGCTCCCCTGCATCTCATACCTCTTTCTACCCCTCTCCTCTCTAAAATGAGAGAGTAGTAGCGACCTCCTGGGTCCACATTGTAATTCAGTAACTAGCATAATACATTTGCAACATTAACCAAGCTATTTCTAAACAGTTACTGCATTTGTTAGCATAATCTATCATTGCACATGGTTTGGGAGCTGTTTATGTAATTTTTGATTTGGAAAAATAGTAAGCATGCCACATATTGCAGCTATGTTTCAGTACAGTCTTTAGTTTAGGAGTGAATGACTGGTACTCTTTTCTGGGCTGTTGCTTACCTGTGATTGGGATGCATGGTCTCCCACGTGCTGATCTGTGAACTGACGGTGGAGGTCCTGTTGGTGGCCAAGGTTACCAACCCACTCAATACAAGCCGTAGCCAGAATACTGGGCCCATGGATCCAGACAAGGAAACATTTCTCTCTTCGTAGATGCTGCTTCTGTTCCAGTCCTCCAGCTTTGATTAAAGGGAGTCGACACATGACCAGTAAGACTGTGATGATGAAGAGTAGGAGGGGAGGGAAATCATGGCCTTGGACATTTGGGGAAATAGATTATAGAGCCTTTATACAAGGTTTTCTGTTGCATTCAGAAATCACAGCTAATGCTTCACCTCCTTCCCCCTTTCTGGGAGGAAAGTCAGTCCTGTGGGCTGGTAAACCTGGAGAGCCTCTGAAGCTAAGAGGCAGCCTGTGTCACAACAAGTTAGGAAACCTCAGTGGATCATTATGCATGTGAGGGTCTGGTGGCTCTGTTCCTTTCTGTGTGTGTGTGTGTGTGTGTGTATGTGTGTGTACGGGGGGAGGGGTTAGAGGCAGGGTGTTTAAATGCTTTGTTGCATTATGTTAATTCCTCGGCAGCGCAATCAAATTCATGTCGTAATTAAAGCTGTCAGTTGGAAGGCAAGCCAATCGCCACGAAAACACAGCATAACAAATGAAGTGAAATGATTCTGCGTGTAGCTATACAATGCTTCGCCAGGCATGAAATTAAATAAGTAATTTGATGTTGACATCAGAAATTGAAATGATACCCACTGTTCCCTCATTCAGTCAGACCTGCATAAACAATAGCCCGAACAAATATGCACAACAAAGCCCTTTCTCCTCCACCCAGCTTCCAAGTAATGCACAATATATATGCAAAACGAGTGTAACAGTGCTTTCCAAGACCGAAGATGTCATTTTCTTTGGTACACAATAAGTTGATATGTATATGGGGGTGGGGGGTACGTTTGTGAGATCTTCCTCTCCTGGGATAAAAGACATTTGCAGAAAGGGGGGGACCCTAAATGGAATAAGCATCCTTTGGTCTCAGAGTAATTGATCCTGAGATGAGTTGACCTCCCAGACGTCTGTCTCCAGCCTGGTACAGACCTTGTGGGTCTTTAGGCCTCTGCTCAGTGGAGGGATGTTGGTGCTGCCAGGTGATAGAGTCACGTGGCTGCTTGCTGGCACGAGGTACTGTCTCCATGACGACGGTGGATTTCCCTTTGTACCGCTTATGGGATCAAGAATGCAGCACCTTCTCTTTAAGCCAAGTCCAGTGTGCAGGAGCCCCCTCTGCCTCCCAGCTGCTCCCCAGAGCTTGTCTGAAAGGCTACGGTGAAGGAAGTTTTGTTCTGGGAACCACATTCAGACATCTCCCTGGGGCTTGTGGTCCTTGTCTGTTGAGGGTGGAGCTACAGCTCCGTGTTTCCTTCAACACTTTAAACTCACAGGAAGAATCCCATCTGCTATATATCCGAAGATGTTAAATTCACCAGTCTCTCCACCACCACCACCCTCCCACAAAGTATGAATGGATATTCATTCCTTTATTTATATGTTAATTCAGTAAACATTTGCCAAAGCAGCCTGTGTGCTGGGCACCATGCTAAGCTCAGGACATGTGTTGATGGCTTTGGTGATTTCCAGAGTGCACCAAGTCCCTGGCAGTGGATAAGCGAGAGTTGATGGGTGCCTGGGGCATCAGAGTGGAGTTCAAGCTGTGTGTTGCTTTTAGCTTCCAAGGAGTTGGTTCCAACTCACGCTACTTCGTGAGCAGGGAAGACTGCCCGTGCCAGGGACCTGTTTCTAGTCAGAATATTGAGGTCATTCAGTTTTCATTGGCTGATTTTTCAAATGTAGATCGCCAGACCTTTCTTCCTAGTTCATCTTAGTCTGGAATATTCCTTGAAACCTGTCCAGCAGCACACAAGCCGACACTGACAGAGGGGTGATAGCTGTTTGTGAGAAGCATCGGCTGGGAATTGAACCTCCATCTCTTGCATGAAAACCAAGAATTGTACCACTGAGTCACGGACGGCTAGCTCAGGGTTCAGATCATAGGTGAAAGTAAACCTGGCCCCGCCCTTGAGAGAGAGGGTCTGCCAGTGCCCAGACACTGACATGAGGCTGAAGACTGGCACCACACGAGCTTGCTTTTCACGAGAAGCTTGCCTGGGTCCTCTTTTATTCATGGAAGATGCAGGAAATGGGAAAGAATTTTAAGGAGAGAATGTTAGGTGGGGGAAGAAACCAGGCAAGGTCAGAGGTTAAACTGTGGTCCTGTTTTGGCTTTATTTTTTCCCAAGAAGTGAGGAAATAAAAGACGCACCACGTCCTTGCAGGTCATTGTTGCCTGTACTTCTTCTGTATCAGAAGCTTCCATGGCTGAGTCCTGTGACCAGAGCATGCCGAAAAATGATGCTTTTCTCCGCTTCCCTTTGCCCACACATTCTTTGCATTTTCTACTACTAATTATGTTTACAAAATGTCTCATTTTTTAAAAGCGCCATGTGTGTACTAAAGGGTCCCTTCTGGGAATAAGCTGGCAAGGAGGTCATCCACGGGAAAAGTCATCCAAACCCACTGGGCATTTCATTTGCAGGTCTGTCTGGGCTTTTTCCTCTCGCCTGCCCCTTTGCGGTCACAAAGCTGAGTAGCTGGAGACCAGGGCATTGAATGTCAGCAAGTCAGGGAGGCTGGCTGATGCGTGTCTGTTTAGTCTCAGCACAGGGCGAAATGCCATCATTAATTCATTACCCAGCTGCCTGTCAAATAAATTGGCAATTACATCCGCCGCAGAAGCTTGGAATTCAGTAAATAGCACGTTAGCATCTCTGAGTTGTTGAGAGATGTAAAGGGGAAAATTAAGCAACACAGCGTTTGTATCAGTAGCAGATGACAAGGGGCAGTGCACGCTGGTGATGTGATGCCGTGATGAAAAGCCTGCGAAGGGCTGGTAATGAGCTGTGTGGATTGGAATGTGTTCAAAACCATTGCTGATTTTCCACTTTGTCTTTATGCTTTATTGCAGAGTTCAGCTCCTTCCAGCTTGGGAACAGGCTACTTCGTAAGTCTATCTCAACATCGACATGTGTGTCTCTCCCTGGCATTGATGTACCTCCATAATGAATGCTCATTCGGATGGGAAAACATCTAAGAAATCCTCTCTTGTTCCTAAAGAACAGACCGATAGCCATCCTTTTAATAAGAATTGTTCTATTTTCCCAAGACTTGATCTGCTGGACCCTCAGCACTGAAATTCAGTCTGTCGTGTACGGACTCGGGCTCCTTACCTGGCCGTGGAAGGAGTAACACACCTTGGGACTCCCGAGCAGCCTGATTGGCTTATGCCACCTTTCCTTTATAATTATTATAATTAATCAGAACTGCCTTGATGGAGGATGGAGTCCAGATTGAGGGGTGTATTCACCTCCAAGATGTCTTGAGGAATTTACCGTGCATACAATTAGCAGTCATTTTAAATTGAGATGAGAGGTGCTATGCTAATAGATGTTTTCCCTGCACCGTCTGCATAGATAGCCTTTGGGTTTTCTTAAGGTAATCCTTACGCTTTTCATTTTAAGAAACACAGGGTTATTCTTTCTTTCTAATCTTCCATCTTTGGTGAGTGACATTTCTTTGGCGTTATCACAATACTTCTCCTTAACAGGATGTCCCTTTCTTTCATTTATTGCAGTTACTCTTTTTTGGATTCAATAATTTTTTAAAAGATCTATAGAAAAATATTGCAAATAAGCATCACTTAGACAATAGGATAACATACCACATATATGTGTGTATGGCGTTTACAGGACTCTCATTTCTGTTCTGAATGGGAAGCACCAGTAGTCTAATGTCTACATAGCATTTTCTGAGCAAACAAAACAAAGTGGAAAATAATTACGGATTCTGTGTAGTTGTTTTTGTCATTCTCCCCTCTAACGTGCTAATTACTCTGGCTTTCTTCTGGCCGCACATTTTTGCTCCATATTTTTACATTAAGTGTATTAAAACCAACATCATCTCATTGCATAAAAAGCCTTTTGAGCTTGGTAGAAGTGGCCTTTTCTCAATGTCGATTTCCTTTTTCATCTTCATTTGTGAGAAGAGCAGGAAAGGGGTAAAAGTGATCTGGTATCTGCTTAATACTGTCAGCACACTTTTCTCCCGTGTCCTTGCCCCTGCTTGCTGTGGTTGAATATTCATAATTGCAGACACACACAGGATGCAGTCAGCCTCCTGCTTCAGCCATCAGAGTAACAGAAGTGCTTCCATCTGCCACCCGTTTCCACCAGGCTGGATGTGGGTTGATATGCTAGAAGTAAAATCTGGAGACTGCTGGTGTGTCTTCTCCATCCAAAAGCTAAATGCACAGCCCAACCCACTTTCTTCAGAAATGAGGCCAAAGCCACTCCCTTCCCTTTGATCTCTTCTCAGCTGAGTGTTCTCCTGTTGCTTTTGTTGTCAGTACTGTTGTCCTGAAAATATTAAAGCCCTTCTCCTTTGGAACATGGAGATTTTCATTGTGCTTCATGTCACTTATGCTTCTCTCCAGTTCCAGGAATGTTTATTTTGTTTCTCCCATAATACAAGCTCATGCATAAAGACTCTCTGTGAATCTAAAAAGATTTATTTCACTTACATAATGTTTGAAGAGTATAAAAGTTTTTCCTTATTTTGGTAAAATTGCCCTTAGAATTACTTTGCTTATATAAAAAACCTGCACTTTTATTAGCTTACATGGAGAAGATCCATACCAGATGTACGCTCAGCTCTCAACTATGACAAAAATGCCTTGCTTAAAATGTGTTTTCAATAATGTGATTATTATGTTATCAGAGTACAAAACCCATTGTGTTATTGCCAAGCCCTCATCAAAAAAGCATCTTCTGTTTCAATTTTCATTCCAAAAAATCACATATAATCCTTCAAAAACTAACTTTGCACATGGCTAATTTTCACACTCTTAAATGGAGATAATGTACCCACAGTGTATTAGCATGACAATTTTCTTGTGAGTACACATTCTTTACTCTGTACCTGTAATCTGTAATGTGATAATAACCCTTCACTTGTGTCTGTAAAGAAGGTTCGATGTCAGGTAAGTGACATGGTGACCTTTGATTCTAAACCTCATCCTCTTCATCTCTTCGAAATGTGGACGGAGACGAATCATGTGCAGCATCAGTGAGCTATAGACACAGGTGGCCCACAGGCCAGCTGTGGATTGAGAAGATGGACACCTGCACCTCGTGGGTTTAACGACAGGGAACTGTGTCTTCAACTGCTATCCGTACTTCAGTGCCACTTTCTAACCCCAGAATCCTTCTCTGTGTAGATTTTCTGCTACTACAGACAGTTTCATGAACTCAGGTAAAGTGCTGATCCTTTGTGCATTGATAAACCAGATACTCAGTTTATGTGGGGGTGTGTTTAACACACACACACACACACACACACACACAGCCAGCACCAGTTTTTTCTACTTCAGTTACTTTTCATTTCTCAGTAGCGCCAAGTTAAGGGTTTGAAGGAGGCGGTGTTGTTTTTGATCTGATTGTATTTGTTTATATCTCCTTAGTTTTGTGTTCCAAAGATGTCTGCCTAGATCTGTCACTTTTCCAATCTATTTAAAAGCATTAGAGTTGAGACATGGGAACAGCAGCTAAAATCAGTGTTTACATAGCATATTGCAAAGAATTCTTAAAGTAGACAAAATAGAGAGGGGTTGGAACAAACTTTTCACATTTGTGAGAGCTTTTGAATAATGTGGGTGTTAGACACACAGAGAGATACACACATCTATATTCATTACATGCTCATGCCCAGCTCATCTTCTAAATATAAATGGAAGGATAGACTAGTTGGAATCGATTTGCCGTTTTCTTGTGCATGGGTAATAAAACTTGTTGGAGTGTGTGCGGGCTTTTCTTTCCTTTCATCACTAATGCAGGGAACACATTTTCGTTCCCATTTACATGGTTTTGGCTCTGTTCTCTTCCTGTGCTTGTGTTTGAAGTTTCACTATGCAGTGTGTAATTAAGAACTTGGAGGCTGAATGAGCTGGAGTTGAAACCTGCTTCCCTCGATTAGTTGTGTGATCGTAGGTCCGTTAGTTAGCGTGTCTCTGCTGGTTTTCTCACACGTGCCTACCATAGAGTTGTGGATACGGAAAGCGAGAAAATATTTTACATGTAATAGTAAAATGTAAACGTAGCCCAGTACTCAGGAATCACAAACTCTTTTAAGTATCATCTTCTGTTACTCATACTGTAGTCTCTTGATGGTTGGGAAGAATGAATACAGTCTTACTAAATCACCATGCAATATTGCGGTGGCAAGTACCTCCAGATATTAATGGTTTTTAAATTGGGTTTATAGGATAGGATTGCTTTCTTATTATTTGAATCTTCTTGTAAATTTCTCAGGAACCTGTGATTTTGTTTGGTCACCTGCCTAGAAATCAACTCAGTATTTAACCATGAAGTAAATATGGCATCTGGTCTTCATGACCCTCTGTGGTGGTTGAAATGAACGTATCTATGCATTATTTACATATTGTGATTTTTCTCTCTTAATTTACATGTGTAAATTGCTTGTTTATTTTCTCCCTCAGATTAAGAAGCACTTAAAGGCTTTAGAAATTTTCTATCCTTAAATAGGACTGGATTGGGAGGGTAGGAAGGCCTGTTTTATAAATCAGCTTGATTGCTGGTCCCTGACACCAGGAAGAAAAGTTATTGTTCTAACATAACTGAGTGAAGCCCCCGAAGACACAACATGACCAGGAAAAATACCTCACTATGATCTGTGACATGAGAGGAAAAGCTCAGATTGACTTTATACCATCACTTGTCTTTATGTGCCAGTCTGGAGTTGTTGTTGGGGTACTTTGCATTCCAGGCTTTATTATATAGTATTTCAGGTATGTTAAACAATAAAGAGAGCTGTACAGCAAAATAAATCTCAAAATATGCTTTGTGCAGTTGAATTAGTTAAGAACCTGCACTGACCGGTTAAAGTGGGCAGTAGCTACAAAGTCTTGACCCGCGATTTTTGTTCAAATTTATAAAGATCCTGAAAGTCCTTTCTTCCCCCCTTTCTAGGTTTTACACTGAAGATCCTTGAAATACCTCCACCTTGCCTTTCCTGCCATTCAGAGTAATTCTCCGAAGTGATTTATGATCTTTTGTTTATCCATCATTTCTTCTTCCTTAATCTCAGAGTAGATTTTACTGGAAGTTGAGAGAGGAATGGATTTCTTTTAAAAGATTGAGCACTTTTGAAAAGTAGGGAAGATTATTTGGAACACTGAATCTTTCTTTAAACTGCTCTGTCCAACTTTTTATGATTGAGTAAGTATCAGGCACCTTTTCCAGTAGGCACTCTTCCACTTGATGGCTTTTGGTTTGAAAAGATAAATCTTCCCTCCAAGGAATTTAGAGTCTACAAATACTACTCCCATGCCTTCCTGGTGATGCTTTTAAAGATCCCAAACATATGTCGTTTAAGAGGCTGTGGGCTTATCAGAGAACCCAACTGTTTCCGTTCCATGAGTGGTAACTTCAGAGGTGCAGCTTCGTCAGCCTGACCTTGGCTGAAGCAGGAGATAGACTCCCCCCATTGGTACTTTCTGGTGAAAAAGAAAGATTTTTCTTTGAAATATTAATTAATAAACTTTATAATAAACTTTTTTATTAGACTAGTTTATTTATAAATTTTGAAATACATAAAAGTGAATTAGACATGTCTCTCACTTTAGGCTCTGCCACTTGTGTTTGTTAGTAACTATTAGTACTGATTAATTAGTAATCATTACAATGGAAACGTGTTCAGAATCTTGTGTTCCAAATAGATTCTCAGCAGGGATCTGTAGTCAGCCTTGAGACATTTGGGTTCATTCACAGGATAAGACAAGGTTTTGATCTGTTGTTCATAGAGTCTGTAGTTGTCGTCATCAACCGAGATGCACCTCACAACAACAGTACTTTCTAAGATCTTCAATATTTCCTTGCAATTCCAGATTGCACTTGCCTCAGAAGAGCCTTGAACTCCCAGACATTTTTC